GTCAATGATCTGTGGTCGTTTTCGTTGTGGTTTAAAAGCCTTGAGAGTTACTTCATTCCCCTTGTGCGTTGAAGATCTGCCGTGTGAACTGGGCGAAAGTATTTTGGTCTTCACCCCGAAGATCCGTGCTTTGAGTAAAAAGTACCGAAGATAGCATATACTGTGTCAAAGTGCCAACTGAAACCGATCATTTCTCCGGTACTGCAGAATAAATTCTATTTCATATATGGGGGGTTACAAAACTCTGTAAGAGAGAAAAAACCGAAATCACAAATGATCTTCGGCAATGCGGATTACCTGTAACAAATAGAACGACACCAACTAAAACCATAGTCTAGAAATGGTAATAAATTCGTGGTTTATCGAGGTTTGGGAGATGATGATTTATTGCCTCTGATGAGAATGTTTCAAGCATAGTCAAAACAGTTGGCAGAACATCATCATTCCCAAATTCACCTCCTATACCCCCTAGGCCACCTCTGTTTCACAGGCACACAACAAAAGTACACCTGAATACTCTTATTTCGCTCCCTTAGGATTTGGATGCTGTAGTTCGAAACCTCTATCAGTCGGTTCAACAGGAACTGGAGGACTTGCGAAATGCACGATGCGCTGCCACAACCATGCCCAAAAACTTGTCCGTTTTTAGCGCGACAACCAAGTGAGTTAGTTATACTGGAGTGAGGGCAAAGTGCCATAAAGTGCATGACAGACTTGGACGCAATGCATGTCGAAATATATCGGTTTTAAACGCACGTCATGCAAATCAAGAGCTTTTAGATTCAATCCGAGCATACGGACATTGATTTTTCTGCAACATGTATGCATTAGAGCATGAACAGATGAATATATTACATGCATGCGTTCTCCTGAAGTATCAAACCGGGGTCCATTGACACGCTGCGTTAAAGTTTTGTATCGAAATTCTGTTCATCCAACAGCTACCCAAATAAATTTATGCTTTTTTCATGTTGCTCAAATAAATTTATATTTTCTGTGGTCCCTCAGGGAAGGCATTGAAAGGTACGAACTCACATTCCCTTCGAGCGAAAAACGCAAGGATTGGGAGCGTACAGTGATGGAACTGAAACGGCAATTGAGTGAGTATCCAACAGGAACGGTTGTGTTCTTTAATTGCTGCCCTGTCTACTCAGCTCATTAGCCTTTTATGTTCGAAGATCAACGAAACATGTTCATGATATTTTTGTAACTTCCTTTATTTAATTATTTCTATTCTATACATATGTAAATGGACCTAATGATTAATATATAACCAGTACATAAATATTTCCCTGTTCGGTGTTTAGCCCTTATGAGAGAGATACAAAGTGGACATTGAGTTGTCAGTAGACGTTTTAGGTTAAATTAGGTCTTTTTCTTGCACTTATGCAAAGTTTTCAGTGTATGATCACCGGTCCTACAATTAAAGGCCCAACAGCTTACAAATATGATACAACACAATATCATTTGTCACAAACATTTCCAAAAAGCTTGTTTATTTGAATAAGTGTGGGTTGCCGTGAACTTTATTTCAATTTGTAACGGGGTAACGGGGTTTAATGATTTTAGTGAAATATCAATTTTTCAGATGCTTTAATGGAAGCTACTGAAGTAAAACGTTTACCAAAAGTTTCCAGGTTAAAATCGTATTTGGGAGTACTCATTTCACTGAAGTGATAAAAGTCATTATATTGCCAGTCAGCACTTTTTCTCGATCCTCAAAGCAAGAACATCTTAAGACCTGAGGAAAAATGAATTACTTTTTGATAGCCAATTTACGCGATTCTGATAGATGATTAAGTATCACTAAATGGTTTTGGAATCTTAGCTCCATTTAGAAATTATTTGACGTAGGACACCCAGCAAGTCATATTTCCATGGAATAACCCTTCCCGAATTTCTCTCACCAGTACACATTTATCATTCCCCTTGTGATTAAAAAATTCATTTTGGGTAACAGAAGCCTTGTTCATCAGTGCTGGTGAATATCCACCTTCCGGGTTACATATACTTGACTTGACTTGAATTTCAAGTGTTACTTTTTTCAGGTTCCGTGAAAAGAACATCACACTTTTCCGGCTCACTGGAGGTTCCCCGAACACTGTCGGGTATTCAGGTGAGAAACAAATTGAAAATTTATGTTTATCCTTTCCTAATTGCAAACATAGTTGGGCAATTAACGTCCACCGTTGAATCATCCGTCACATGCATCTTCGAATGAATATCCCGGCAAATGATAAATGATAGGCAAATCTGTTGGAGCGGCGATAAACGCTGTGAATGAAAAGACAGAAAACAAATGTGAACTCGAATTTCCAAGTAGCTCTTTCTCTTTAGTCCCAAATAGATTTCACTTGAGCATTCACCGTTAAATTACTGCCTCTCGTGAAATTCTTTCGCGGTAGTCATTCTCCCAGGTAAACGTTAATAAATCTTCCAGCTCGAGGTTGACAGTAGAAACCTGTTAGACTTGATTAAATATTATTTTCTTAAATTCATGCAGTTTTTGAATGAGTCAAGTCCCATGTCGAATTCATTCATTTAACGCCGTGCATTAGAGATTTGAATGTGATCGCAAACGTTTCTTTGTGTTTGAATGGGAGATAAGTTAGCTACCTCTACCGTGGTCTTCAGTTGCCAGGATGTTGCATGCATTGGAGAAAACTGGGAAATACTGCTGTATAGTGGAATTGGTGGACTCTATACAAAACGAATGCCTCCAATTCTCAAAAATAAAGGTCAAATAGAACATTAAAAAACTGATAGCGCAACAGCCGTATCATGCCTATGAGTACCCATCAAAAGTATATTATAATGATGTCTTTTGCTGGAGCTTTGTTATTTCATAACTAATGCACCACAAACCGTTGTCGAAATCGAGAAATTCGTAGATTTTAATGCCATTAGACTAATGGATGTAATATAAATGGATAATATTACAGATATGTTGCGTCTGATGTAGGGCACTAATGGATCCCTTGGTTGAGTTTCAATCCCCGAACCGTTAGGAGAAATCAATGTGATGAAAGTGTCAGGGTTTGGTACGAGTTTGTTCAATCCATGTACATCTGGAAGTGTAAACCTTTTATTCTGAGTCGGATCAACATTGTACTTTTTAGTTGTTCCAAACAAAAGAAGGGGTAAGATGGCTGTTCCAGTTGCTGTTTATCAATGGAACGGACGACTTAATTTACCGGTTCATGGACGTTAAGTCGAATAGCACGGAATAACTGGAAAAAGTAGTTCCTTTTAATATATTCACCTTTACAAAATAATACTCTGCTCTCCAGCTTGGCGAAAATACATGTTCAGTCATGATGTTTCTTCCCCCCGTGCGTATTTTCTGTCTTTTTCGCATATCTAAATAGCTCTCCTGCTCGGCGGTGGTCGAGTTCATCTACCTGACCAAAGCCACGCCCCGGGACGTGTGGATTTGTGCATCAGACGGGTATACCGGGTATATTTGTTTGTTGACATTACATCCCCGCCCAATGATATACCTGAACACGCCGCTGGCGGGCTGCAACTCGCGAATCACCTGCATATGTGCTGTGCCCGGGTCAGCCATTCCTAATACCCGACGGTACGTGCAGTCTGGTGTGTGCTCGTGTGTGTGTGTGTGCGTGCGTGCAATCGAACTGATTTTCTCAGTTGCAAACATAAGGGGGCATTAGTGTGCATCTGCCTAATCGAATGAACAATATGGGAAACTTCTGTTTTTGATTTTCGCATCTGTATGGGTGCCCACGTTTAACCCAAACGCAGGTATATTTTTAAAGTGAACTGGTTAAGTAAGAAACAGTTGAAGAAGATCAATGGAAGAATATTGGGCAACAGATGGATCCAGAAAAATGAGCCCTGTAACGCAGCTTCAATCTGTTGAAACCTCAGGACAGACTGGCTGTAAGTGTAAAAATGGAGCTTCGTGAATTCAAACCCCACATATTCATTGATGGTATTCAACTATCCGTACGATGGAATTATCTGCGTTCTTACAATAAACAATATAAAAAGACTGTGTTAATATTCAAGAGCGTATATGGATGACGTGAAGTATTTTACAGCTACTTTCATTTGCTTTAGTTTTCAAGCACAACTTGCCTTGAGTTTCCATAGAAACCGTTTTGACATTTCTTGAGAATTCCTAATAAGAGTAAAATGTTTTGGTTTTCGGGATTCTTCCCGAAAAATCAAATTTTATGGGAAGCAAAGGCTGCAAGTTCTCAATTTTGGACTGCATCATCTCTAACTCTAATAAAACCGATGCTCTTTAGATGATTATGCAACCTCTAAGCCCCGGTTTGTTGTTATGGGTTGTTATCAGTTGCAAAGTAAGATTCAGCAATGAAATTACCGCGGAAAACTAGTTTGATATAGGCTTTTAACAACAACTAAGTGAAGATAACGAGGCGAACCGTAAAATATTTGAATTCTTGAAAGCCCCTTCTTCAAAATAGTAGTTGGAGTGCTTTGGATTAAACTGGGGTTGTGGTACTTTACTGGATGCTCAATTTTATCAGGTGCTTGGTTTCCTCCAAAGGGGCGTTAAGAACGTGATACAAAGTACTTGCGATGGTACTTGATGTGTCCAACGGTTATTTATTCTCATTCAGTCTCTTCTTTTCACATCAGCGTCTGCGAATGAGTAAACAAAGGGGAGTCTTGGTTTTGACCAACAGGAAATATTGCACCCTGTATGCACTAGAAGGTGATCCATTCACTTAAAGTATCACTCAATGATTCAGCCACAACTTGTGTTATGCCCTATTTATGAAGTGTCAGTAGAACAATTTGCATGGATTTCATTACAAAAGGTTCATACAAGCAAGATTATTTCTTCTTTAAAACTCAATTAAAATTCCATTAATAAATCACAAAATTTTAAAGAAGGAAAGAGTCAGTCAGGTGTCAATCGGCAAACAAGACTGGGAATGATCGACGACATGTAAAATTGATTTGCCCAAATTTGAAAACAAATGAATACAGTGTGATATGTTCCGTTCAACAGGATTCTAATACTAGATTAAAATTATCGATTCCATAAGCCAGCAATACATAGGCATAGAAACGAAATTTAACAGAAGCGCAGGGACCGGAACCAGAGAATGATTATGATTGAACCCTAGACTAATACACTCTGGTAGGTGAGGCCAATTAGTTCTTTAAAAAGTTTTGATTCTTTAGTTCTAACTCAAGTCGCATGCATTTAGACTTCGAGTACGTAAAGAAAAAATGAAATCTTTATATGAGAAGGCGTTGAACATAGTACATAGCTGATTCAGTTTCATCAGTCAACAGGTGCAGTGCAAATTCATCAAATCCGCCGTGGTTCCACCCCGGGTACGATGGTCGGTAATACAAGACGCCAATCACTCAGCCTATCCAGACTGTCTCTCAAATTCCGACTGCACGGTAATAATCCATGATAAAGCAGACGTTCGTTTCTCTAATGAACTGTGCTGAACGGTACCCGACAATGATCGAGAGCTTGATACAGAGTCCTGCGACGCCCATGAAAAACACTGACAACTACTAAATTTGAATTTGTTCACGAGTCACGTTCGGTGAGAAGACCGCTATTACGTGCACGGCTTGTCATTTATACCATTTTATGTAGAATAGGAATCTGACCAGAGTAGCTTCCATGTTGGATGTGTGTGATAAAGTGAGAATTCTGGGTGAAGTCACCGTTTGAAGCACTAGGCACACTTGTGTTCTCAAAAGGAAAAGTAGGTAGATGCTTATAACTTATTCATATTCAATAAAAATAGTAAACAACAAACAACTAATTACCAAATGAATCAATAGAATTGAAAGTAAGGGGGTGCATTCTTTTATTGCTGATTCATTCTTTCAGCTGACTTTGGTATACAAACATGCTCTAATCCACTTGTCACTTCAAATTAATTTTTCAAGACGAACATTGTAATCAGTGTTTATGATTTATGCTGCTTGACTTTACCATCTTATTTACATCTAACTTCCCGCCTGCTCCAAAGCTAATGACTGCAAATTTATTCTCATTATAGAGTGTCCTACAACCATGGTATTCCAACACCCCGCTCAAAATCGTCTTCCGGATATGGTCAAGCTTTGAATAAACCTCGACTGTCCCTATCCAGATCCGACGAGAATGTTGAGATCACGGGATTAGAAAGTAAAGATCGTAGCAGATCTGAAAACGAAGTACACTTAGAATCCTCATCAGCATCTGGCTTACACCACGAATTAAGTGCTGCTGATGAAGCTAGGACAAGCTCGACCCGTAAATCCAGTGGGAGTCAGTTAGATGATGATTCAGAGACACTGTGCTATGTACGAACACAAACCAGCAACTCGCCAATTAACACTCCACCAGATACTCCAACACTTCGTGAAGTCGACGAGAAAGACGATGTGTCAGCAGATTACGACCCGGGAGAAAAGGAAATCTCGGAACCGGCCAATTTATTTTCCCAGTCTTCACACTCCATCGGAGAGTTAAAAGACCCATCCAAACCGCTTTCACAAGAATCGGCCACAGCTGGGATTGGTGGTGGTAGCGCCGCCAATGTGTCAGAAATGGGAACTGATTTGGATCCGACTGCAGCTGACGAACAAGAGACACAAGCATCAGATTACTCCGATTCCAGTGATGTCAGCGATGTGGACAATGAGGTACAAGATGAAACCAGTTCCAGTCACACCACTCAAACTACTTCAAAGGAGAGCTCCAACGAGGCACCCATGGATGTCTGCGGTGAGAAGCCTATTTCAAATTTGTCGTGTTTTAAATTATTCTGGGAAATGATGCACATCTGTCTGATAGAACTGAAGTTATTCACCTTCATCTCTCCTTAACTTTTTCACTTTTTCTTCCTCCGGATGTTATACATGATTCCAATTTTTTACTCACAGTTACTAGTATGCAGTGGTGTAGGATAAATGATTCTTTTGGTCCCATCATTCATCATCTACATCTTCACACACAATCCTCAGTTTATTCAGTCAACCGAACACTGCAGAAGTGATAGACTCTAGTTTTTCTCTCTTCAAAATTAATTCACCGTCTAGTCCAAGATATTGTGTCGACCCCATTGCATGAAGCGCATATGTTACCAGTGTCTCAACCGGATCTCACGCAGGTAGTTCAATCCAAGTTTTTCTGCTCTCGCCTTCAATAGCTACAAACGGAGGCGAAGTATTTAACCACCAATAAAGAATCTCACCCCAGTAAACCGTTCTTTAAGTGAATCTACGTGTTGTAATTCAATTGTCTGAACACCATCCAAGATGATAGAAGTGACCGAATATGGGGGAATGATGTAGAAACCGTGATTGGGTCCGAACACAAGATCCCCGGGGTGTTAAATTGATGTGGCTATAAACATCTGACCATCAGGAAGACCATTTTGCTATACTAACTTAATCCAATATCCTCTTTAATTGACTGATGCTAACTGAACGAAGAAAAGTGATAAAAATTGAATACAATGAATCTGAAGTCATCGTACGCCTGCACAAGGTAAAGCAAAAGCCAGAGCCATAATTTTCAAAATGGGTATCATATTATACCATCGGGAAAGATAAATATACTCATGAGCTTAGAACAAGGGAAGAGTAGCTTTCGACTAGCAATGCTTCACACAAATTCGAAGATTTATTATGGAAATAACTTACAAGCTCATGCTTTTCCCGTCCCGTAGGTTCGTGTTGTGGTTAAAAGGCTGTTATATACAATCCTACGGGTAGAAATGTCACACTATACGGGCTCATTCCACTGCTGCGCGTATCTTCAATTATGTTGGCATATAAGGCGTGCTAATGCCTAATCAAGTCTCAGTTTGAAAAATTCAACTTTTACACACAGACGACGTGGGATTGGAGAGAGTACCTGATCGAACACACTCTGACTGCCAATGACTGACTCCGACGTTCTCTTCGGCATTTTGAGACCGCTAGTTTGAGTGGATGTCCTCTGAGAGGAAGGTTGGGCGATAATTTTAGCAGCGGAAGACATGGATGGTCTGGGTTTTCACATTAGTTTGTGTGTCACTTACATGTCTTTTCCGATGAGAAGCTAGGGATTAGAGTATTACCCCCAAAACTCCAGTCTCTCTGGGTATGAATAGCGATTCAGCCCCTTAACCATTTTGGTGACCATCCTTTGTGGAGGCTTCCGCATTTTGCAATCACGGTGTAGCCATGGATTCCATACCTGGATGCCGTACTCTGAGTTCCGAGGAAATGGGAAAATGGCCCCATGTGCCGTGGAGATAGAACCTTACACTTTGGGACATTGAATTCAATATCGTTCATAAGAGACTAGAGATGAGCTGTTTTCAGCGTTTCTTGGAGTGCCAGTGAGCGGGCTGATTGCGTTACTTTATTCCAAATTTTGGCGTCATTTGCAAACAGTAATGAGTTTGACTCCATAGACTTCGGTAGGTCGTTTATGATTGTTAGGAAACGTCGCGGACCAAGCACAGCTGCTTGTGGAACTCCACGGGTAATATTCATAGGACTGGAAAGCGAATCAGAAATGCAAACCGATACGGTCCGATGTCGGAGAAATGCCTCAGTCTAATCAAGAATGAGGCCCCAAATACCATAATTATAAACCTTCCACAATCGAATTTCGGGGTTCACCCGATCAAACGCTTTTGAGAAGTCCAGATAAATAACGTCTACCGTATCGCCGTCATCAACTGCTTTTGCCCGTTCTTCTCGTGCGATGAGCGAATAATATTAATAATAACACTATATTCATTTTCATGTGTTATGTTTTAGTTGAATAGATAAGGATAAAATCACATGGGAGAATGAGCATCCATAAAAATGCCACCAGACGCCAAATTGGAATTTTGGTCGTACCTCAGTGATCCATTGACCTCTAGAGTAATCTGATATCGACTAAAACTGCCGCATCCCCGGTGAGCGTAGCTTTGACCAACCCCGCCAATTGTAGATCACTTTATAGCTCGATATATGTTCTCGGAAATAATCACACTCACATAGACAAACACAATATCTCCTATGCAACTACGGAGACAATCAAAAGCCGCATCTTTTTCTAGCTGACTGCAGTCCATGATCTCTTGTTTGTTTGATTGATGCCAAACACAAGCTTAGTAAGTTCGGAAGAGTGTGCTTCGATCGTCCTATTTGATTTCTGAGAATGTCGTTTTTCCTATCCAGTTTTCTGACTGAATTCTATGGTTTTCGCGTGCAAAAGCCCAAAACGTCGGAAATCAGTCTGCCGGCACCAATAAATGTCATCCCGGTGCATTTAATCGAAGCATTTGAAGGCGGCTTACTTCACATAACGCCATTGACTTGTGCTACGATAAACACTAAAAATGTGCTATTCATCTTCAAACGCACAATTGAAAATTTAGGCAAAACGCAGTTTATTCCGTTTTAAACTAGTTGCATAAAACTACAAAAACTATTGCTCAAAAATGTGTTCTATTTAACGCACGATCGATCGAAGTTCTTCAGTTTGAAAACGAACGGTGGTTTTATTATACCAGGCATCTTCAATCGGTCAATTAGATAAGGTCAATGAGCTCCTTACATCTGTGTGCAGAATGCGTCTTTATATGTAGAGCATAAATCCTCCCGTTCGTTTTTTGTGGCTTCAAAAGCCGCCCACATACGTTTTGTTGGATTATTCCTACCGACAATTGTAGGTATGAATTTGAATGGATAATGAGGTAACTAATTCGGGCTAATAAGAATATACCAAATATAATTTTCGTTGGTTCATTTCGTCGTATTTGTTGCTCAATCGAGCTAGTAGTCGATTGAGACCGTATAAGTAAGGCACACCTGAAGAATATTTTTCATTTCGTCACTATTGTTCGTTCACTTGCAGCCTCTGCATTATCGCATTTTTATTTTCTGTTGTGAATTTCTTCACAGATTCACCGAAGAACAATAAAAATATGAGACTTCTCGATCCTCATCGACCAACTATGTGGCTAGGAACCGAAGAAGGAACGTGAGTCGCTTTGTGATGTTTTAAAAAACGTCTATCGTCCAGGATATCTTACCACTCATTATTTTACAATTGTTTTTGATAATCTCATAATGACCTGTAAACTTTTACTACAGTTTACATGGTAATAAATTGTAGCCGCTAATTTTACTTTGGACTTTGGTAGCATTTTGTTTCATTGTAACATATGAAGATTTTAGTTGCGATTTTCTTCGTCGTTGAAACGAAACAGCAATACAAAGCACCGGGACTTTTCTCGTCATTTCAGTATTTTTATATTTTACGCAAACGAAAATATCAAGACAAGTCGTCAACGTCAACAGATCAAACTCACCTCAGCAATCAACAGCATCCTACAATTGGACGTGCGCATCTTTGTTGCATGCATGAACGGGGATCTTTTTGTCTATGATCGCAACGCCGGTAAGCATATACGCGTTTCCATTATTTTTTATGGATTGTTGGGGAATTCTGCTGTTTTATATTCATTTTTATCATTGATAAATTGACCGTATACATTCGGTCAACACCAAGTTTAAAAATAATTATATCAAAGTTCAAAGCGCTATTATGGGCGATTCAACAAAGCTCGCGCTTATCATACTCCATAGGCTTTTGACAGAATGTTCTAGACAACTTTATAAATGGAAAATGATAATAATATGCACGATCAAACACAGATGTTGAAATGGTTGAAATGTTCCAATGCTTTATGAAGCTGTGATTTGAATAATTCAGCCTCTTTAGAGTTACCATTAAACGACCATAAATGAATAATAACAATAAACGATAGCGAAATAAAATTGATTGAACATGGTAAACTGGTTATCGAAAATGTACATTTGATTATCATAAAAAGCAATACCACAATGATCGATCTTCCATGAAGGATGTCTGATAACCAGTTAAAATGACATGTCACCAATGTACAATGAGTTAACTAAGGGAATCACAGTCATTATGAGAAATTGCGCCTTGTGTTGTGCATAAAAATCCTGTCGCATCCGCTTGTTGGTGTTTTGACCTTGTGGGGTCTAATCAGCAGTGATAACTGATTGATGAAAAGAACGATTGAACCTCGGACAAAACGTGTTGAACGAAACCGCGCTGCCTGCTTGATCACCACGTGGTTGATCAGACGGTAGCATTTCGTCTGTACATGAAATAGATCAACAACCGCTTGTTGCCTGCATCCAAGCTCGCTGAACGTGACGTTTTATACATAAAATGTTTGCGGAAGTAAAATTAAACACAAATCATTGTTAGCATGTGAAATCAGGTTTCTCACCAGTTGTTCTCTCGTGCACTGATCTATTCCTAAGCTGAAATAAATTGCTGCACACATCCCTTCCTACCCCCTCACCCACCCACCCACTCACCCAAATTGTCTGACCACACGAATGGCGCTATAGACGGTCTTTGGGATGTGGACTCCCCGCGATTACTGCAGATTGACCCGGATCACGAATCTCCAGTTGTGGTGCGCCGCATGCTAGCCGTGGCTGGTAATGTGTGGTGTGCCGCACACCGTTTCGTCTATGTGCTCAATTCGGTCACCCTCAAAGTGGAGGTAAATGGGCAGTTCTTCATTCAGATTTATCCACCTTATCCATACTATCGCACGCCAATTGCGGTTTTTACATTGAAACACCTGGAGGGGTGCAGTCTCGTTTTCCATGATTCATTAGCAAGTAAAATATGTGGTAATATATAGTTTTTCCCTGTCAAGCAGACAAACAGGCAAACAATGTCTGGCGAGAAGAAAAATGCACAACAAATAAACCTCTCTGAGTATCGGATCTAGAGTTTACAATAAACACAAACCTGTTTTGAGTTGAGACGAATTCAGACCTGTTCTGTTGTGACTAGCATATAAAACGAACCTGGATTGATAACCTGCCCGAACTCCACACACTGAGTGGAATATCGCGGTCACATCCATTTCTTTATCCGCCTCACGCGTGCATGAAGCCGTTGAAGATGTATGTGAGTGACAACATTCTTACTCTGTTTTACAAAACCGAGTGATATCCACGGATCAATGCATAAGAAAACGCCTGATCTTGTGAGTGAAGTATATCAACCCACGGAAACAAGTAAGTGAATATAGAAATAGCTGTTTTAATTGATAACTGTAAACTCAAAGAATGCGTGGGTGTGAACAAACCTGAAGATTTGATGAGCGAAAATTGTTGTGGATTATGTCAACTACTATTCTTGGTTGTATGCTAGTAGTAGAAGAGTTGAATTGATTACATAGTGAATTTCGTTGTGTAAAGACAAACGAAACGCAACTGAAAAGCTAGAAGACACTGCACAGCTGTTTCGAACTGATTTGGTCTCATTAGCTGCAGTGTGAATCCATTGACCCATACCTTTCAATTCACCCAGTGGATGTTGACGTCCATCAAATATTTTTTCAATTGGTTCTACTCATGAAACACACTTAAAAACCAACCAACTAAGATCTGTTTTGATTATAAAATAAACCTTATTATTATTATTATCCTATCATTTGCCCTCTGCTCAGACAATTTCCTTTTAGGCATGATTATGCATTATTGAAACCGGTTTCTTCGCTATTCTGTTTGATATTTGACACGCTTTTTCTCTTCAAAACTTTCGGTACTATTGGTAGAAATCGTAAAGCCAACTGCGAAACCGTAAGCTTACCTTGAAGTGCAGCGTATGGTTTGATATTCTCAAGACGAATTACGCGCAAACCTTAGCAGAATTTAAAGTAAGACTATAAAACACACGAGCGGGCATTTTCAGTGGATATGCCCACTTTAATCTGGAAAAATTAATTTCTTAATCGCTTAATTGAAGAACGTAATGAAAAATAACGGAAATGTGTCACCACGAAGTGCTCTTCTAGTTCTCCAAACTACAAAACAGTCGATTAACCGGGAAATTCGTACGCAGCTGTTCGTACAGCGCTTTCCCTTCAGCATCGAGTTACTTACTTTTTGATCTATGGAGTTATTACTATGAAAAGTTATTCATTTGATTTATACAGCTCGATTCCAATTTATTATCGATCATCTCATGTTTGCAACTAAGTTGTTAATAAACGATAGATGCACATTGTACTTGTCATGTCCGTCGCTACGATCATGTCACTCGCTCAACGAAGAAACCAACTTTTGCCACCCAAAATCATCCTCCCAGCCCAATGGCGATTGCACGAAAAGGCTAAACCGCATCCAGAAATTGGACAACCTGGTCTAAAGTGTTCATCTCGGTTATTGTGGTTTGCCATGACCCACTGGATCCCAGTTCACTGAACCACGAAACTAAAAAAATTTGTATGTATGCTTCAGTATTTCCTTTGTTTTCCTCCGTGTATGTGTGCAAAGGTGTATCTGTTTGTGTGTGTGAGAGAGAGGCTGCGTAATCGAGCAAACTGTCCGTGTGGCATTCTGTGTGGCCCATTGGGGTGAGGGTGTCCTAGTGGGCGGGGAGGTAATGGACCGATAAGCGAACAAGCGAAGAAGAACTATCGACCATGTTCAACGGGCTTCAACGCGCTTGTTTACATTTTGTCTAAAACGGGATGAACGGTATTGAGATCAATCACAATGAGAATGTATGTTGCACGGTCGCACGCCATTCATTGACCAGTTTTCTTGGCTTATATACATATGAATTCCTACAAGCATACAAGCAAGTAAAGAGCAAAATACACATTTTTCACACTCAACTACCAATCTATCAACGTAGCTACCTACCTACCTATTTGACTACCTACACACACGTGCATATGTACGTACACATACATACAGAATGCATACACACACAAACATTCAAGGATGTATATGTAAATATTGACGAGAAAAAGGTACACGTCAAACCATCTACACAACCTGGTTTTTCTGATGATGCGGAACTCTGACTGGAGAATATTGATAAAGGGGCTTGCTCTACAATAAACCGGAACTGGAATCCGTTTGTGTTTCATAAGCCATCGGTACACAAAAATCGTCTCATGCGCTTAGTTGTAACGATAACCGTGCAGATTGGTTCAATTCTGCAATAGCTTGTGTCTGTTCGTTGTATACCGATTCCGAGAGGTTTGTTAGGTGAAACGATTGCAGAGTTTTACAAGATTACTCATCGATCGTCATTTTTAGATAGATGAACTACGTCTCGCACGGGCCAACCCACTGCTACGAATAAAAGGGAAAAATATTTCGGGATGAATGCTATAGGAAAGTGTTCCAAGTATCCAGCCTGTTTTCCTACTGCATCTTTTAGAATACATGATTTTTTGAATGCAGTAGCAGGTAAATAATGCTGGAGAATCCACTACAATACACTGAATTTGTAAACTTGTTTTATTCTCGAAAAACACATTAGTGCTGGGGTGTGCGGTTTTAGATAGGTTTCAGCTAAGGGTCCCGCTAATCACGACAAGGTGGGTACCATACTGCGGATTATGTATGTCATTTTATAATGTGGAAAATATTAAAATTATAAATGTCAGTTTAAGTAACTTAGTCAAAGAGAGGCAGCTCACTTCTGTTGTCCTTGCGAAAAGATAATATAGTTTCCTTGATCATATCAACTTAAAAACGAAGGGTAAGTGTGCCAGAAGGGCAGGTACATACCCTTCATAAGGAATTTATTTAAACAATTGTCTGAAGCCTCAAATACATTACGGGAAAATGACTCAGTAAAACTCACAATGCGTTAACTTAAAACTAAAAATATAGAATTATCAAATAACAGTGCATTTATTCGCAAGAAGATTTGTACCGTACGGAAATAGGATTATGAATTTTTTCTACGACCAACAATTAGGCCGTCAATAATTTACAATAAAACAAAAGTAGTTTCAAATTAGTTATCAAGTTGTTGAACACCACTCATGTGAATCACAGTTTAGTTTCACTCTCCTTTTTATCGTATTATTACCCATAGAAAATAAGCTATTTCCAGCAAAACGCTACAGGCTGCCACCTCGTTTTACCTCTTTCCTTCGAGTAACTGGGGTAATAATAAACGGTTGATTTTGGTTGAAGCCTACTCGAAACCGATTTCTCTGCACGTTAATTGTACATATCTGTAACACCTATGGGGAAACGTTACACATCCCATGACCGTCTACAAAATCCAACTTCTTTCTGAGTGCAAAGTTATCATTACAAGTAATATTTGTCAACTGCGATTTACGCAAAGTCTGGGGTTACGAATAAATTCCTTGCTTGTAAATAATAAACACAAATTCATTGTCTGTTTTTATAACAATATTGGTTAGACTGAAACGCACACACACAGGAGACTAAAATGTCTGAAAGCATTTTAAAATTTTGAAGTTGATTTCTGCTATGATGCCAACTTTGAGCTTTCCTCAATGTTCGTACTTGTGTTCAGTGGATCACATGCCATCCATGGGCTGAAAATATTGCTTTGAGGTACCATTATTCGACAATTTTCGAAAAAATCTTTTGGAAGGCACGGTTATATAATTGTATATCTCGTCTTTCATCTGGACTCGGTTTTGCTATGTGCTGGAAATCGTATACTCAGCGAAGTTGTGCCTGTTCAAGAAATTGTCTGAATGCACTCATCTACTGTAATGTTTCCGTATAACTCAGTCTATTTGATGTGAATCCGACAGTCAAATGGGAACATTTTTCTTTTTCTCCTGGAACAAATCTCCCTGTGAAAAGGTTTAGATCTACTCCGTAAATCAGACTCATGCAAATACAGCCCTTAACCATCGTTGACAGAACCATTTTCACATAAGATGACTCCAGTTATCTCTGAGGTATTTTATTTTTCGGTTATCTTCCCTTCTACCCATCAATATGAATTGGTCGTTTACTTCATCAAATTTCTGTTGAGCAGCCTGTCTTCTTTGCATCAAAGATATTAGGTACAAGTGCGGATACTCCGATGAAACAGGTCTCTTTGCTGAGATCACAAACTTATGATTATCAAAACTAATTTACTTAAAACGCCCTCTACTCGGCGTCACACCCGATTGTGTGCATCGCGCATGTCACCCAAACAGATTGAAGTTTCTTCCGATTTTAGAGGAAACACTTTGGAAAATTTAACTTTCATTATGACGATTTCGTATGTGTGGTAATTGTATGCAAAGAAAACGGTTCTCTCTGGCTATGCCATTCGCTGCGGTTCGAGCAAAACGGGTTATCTGTCATCAAACAGCTTGATCCCGATAGGATAAACACTAATTTAGCCAACATTCACAGACTAAATGACACATAGGTGGTTGGTACCCTTATTTAGGGTACAATGTGTCGCGGACTCGATTACCACGTGGGTATTCAAACGTGGTTGAATGTCTCCCTCCATGTGTTTGATAATGTCCAAGGTCACGCTCTGCCTGTCGGGCAGTTTGCCTTGCGCGAGGGTGCAATGTCACCCCGGTAGAATCCGACAGTTTCACTTCCACCACCCTGGCGTTTGTCATAAACACCAAACTCGGCATTCGGTCAGCTTGTCAGGTCGACGCGCAATTGCGCTGTGCACTGTGGGTCGTTTTTCCATGTCGGAATGCGAATCTTAGCGAATGGGATCAGGCTTTATAATCCCGTCAAA